TGGAGTCTGCACGCACCCACTCTGCCCCTCCCATGGGAAGGCGAAGGCGCTCTGAGTTCCTGTCATTTGCACGGTCCCCACACGGAGAGCAGTCACCCTATCGAGGCTCTGCTCTCAGTTTATGGCAAACCGAGCTGAGAGCCCCCTCCTGGGCTCACTGACCCTAACCATTTTCCCTGCTCCAATGCTTGGGAACTCTACTGGCTCAGGCACCCCGGTTATTTCTGTGACTCCAGGGATCCTGAGACCACACAGTCCCATCTAGAAATTTGCCCCTTTTCACCACCTGAGCTCCTTTCAGTCAGGGATGTCTCTCACTGGAGCAGACATCTAAGGGTTCTGATTTTGCCCTCTTGGGCTATATCACTTTCTGGTAGCCAGCTTACTGAGGCTCCCTCCCCCCACTGTTTATCTTCTGATATTTCCCCTCAGATTCACTCCTCTGCACCTGCTACCTTGCAGAAAGTGGTCGCTTTTCTACTTGTAGAGTTCCAGATTTTTTTTTTTTTTTACATCTCAGGTTGAATTCGTGGGTGTTCAGAATGATTTGATAGTTATCTAGCTAAATTCAAGGGACCAGATGAAAGGAGGTCCCCTATTCTTCCACCATCTTGCCTCCTCCTCCATCTTTCCATTTAAGTAGGTCTTGATTTTTCCAATGATGCTTTGTGGTTTTCAGAATGTAAGTTTTGCGTTTTCCCAGTTAAATTTATTCATGTGTTTTATTCTCTTTGATGCTACTGTATTTGAAATTATCTTCTTAATTTCATTTTCAGATTGTTCTGTGATGACGCATAGAAATGCATTTTTTAAAATTTTGATATTGTAGTCTGCAACATTGCTAAATTCACTTATTAGCTCTAACTGATTTTCTCTTTGTGAAATAAAGACAAACTTCTTCAACTTAATAGAGAGCATCTACAAAAAAATCTACAGCAGGATTATATTTAATGATGCTAGACTGAATGGTTTCCTACCTAATAATATCTGGAAAAAATGAAAAATGTACACTCTCACTACTTCTATTGAACATGGTGTGGAAGTTCCAGCAGGGGCAATGGGCAAAAGAGAGGGAAGGAAAGAAAGATATAAAGAAAGAAAGAAGAAAGAAAGAAAGAAGAAAGAAAGAGAAAGAAAGAAAGAAAGAAAGAAAGAAAGAAAGAAAGAAGAAAGAAAGAAAGAAAGAAAGAAAGAAAGAAAGAAAAAAGAAAATTTAAAAAGTGGAACTAAAAGACATACAGATTTGAGAGGAAGAAAAAAAGATCTCCTTATTTGCAGATGACATAATTGTCTATGTAGAAAATCCCAAGGAAAACACACACACGCACACACACACGCACACAATTCTTCAAACTAGTAAGTGAGTTTAACAAGGTAATAGGATACAAGATAAATGGAAAAACCAATTGCATGTCTATAAAGTAGCAATGAACACATAGACATTCTAATTTCAACCTAAAAGCACCATGTCATTTGCAATCACTCAAAAATATTTAGGTGTAATTTTAAGAAACCTTTATAGGACTTGTATGCTGAAAACTACAAAATAATGATGAAATCTAAATACATGATGAGACGTACCATGTTCATTGATCAGAGCATACATAGTAAAGATATCAAGTGGTGGAAAGAAAGCTAACTGAATCACACAGAAAATGCTAACATCAAATGTGGATGGGTGTGGCTGATAACACTGTGAACTGAGGGAGCTGGTAGATATTTGAGGTTTGTGGCTTGGTTCAGTTGGGTCTAATTATCCTCTTTTATCTAGTGTTTCTCTCAGATAAACTCAATAGAACTGGAACAAATTTGCATTCTCAAAAGCAAGTGTGTTTTCAAAAAATTTGAGCATAACACCCTCGTTGTTAAAATTACTACAGAAATTTCTATTTTAGTAATTTTTTTAAAAAAGGATAGTTATTAATTGGTAAGATTAGGTATGGAAATATATATGTATACATATACATATTTATAATATTTATATTGTTAACATATATTTGTCACTGGCATTCAAAAGGAAGATGATTTTGTCACTACACCCATTCAGAAATCTTCATAAGTCCCCATTACATATAAAATTAAGCTTTGGCTTACAGAACACCCAGTGATGACATAGGAGGGCAGTCTTTCTGCTGATACAGAGAGAATGGATGACAAAAAAGTTAAAAAACTAGGGTCACAAAAGCACATGAAACAAAAGGAAATGGGTTATGATCTTGATCCTTAACCCAAAGCTTCATTGGGTGCATAGAAGATAAACATCTGAGCAGGACCCTTGTAAGGCAAAAAACATCAGAGCTAGGATGGCAGGTTCCCATCCAGCAGGTGTCCTAGCAGGTGGCAGGTGTCCCAGCAGACACCAGGCTGGGAACCTTGGGATTGCTTTTGCCTTTCCTATTCTGAGTAATTTCCTGTGGCCTCAGACCTGCCCAATTTTGATTGAGTAGTTATGTGTTTTATAAACAGGATGGAGAATAAGGATTGCAATAGACATGGAAGTAATTAGGGGAGCATTCCTAGTTCTCAACCATAGATGGTAGCAACCTAGAGGCTGCCCAGGAGGCGTAGGTCTGAGGGCTGTTTACTTATGTGCTCATGAAGGCATACAAAGTCTGCCCCTACATTTGAACACCCTCCTTCCACTATGCTCCTAGGCCTCAAGGGAGGGTCCACCTGTGAACGCCTTCCAGAACTGACTCTGAGGGGCCTTCCTCATATCAATAATTCTCTATCTCCTGCAGACCCCAATAGGTACCTTAGACACCAGGGGGGGGGGGTTCTCTGACCTATAGAAAAAAAAAATCCTGCTTCTAAGAGGTTATGTCTTTTCCAAATATTTTTACCTGACCCAATGTACTTTTATAATTAATGAGTTTTCTACACATCCTATACAGTGTATCAATACAGACAGATACACATGCACGTGCGTGCACACACACACACACACTATATATATATATACACACACATTCCTGGAAATAAAAGTCTTTAGCTTTCTTTTCTCATTTAGTATCTTATCTCAAAGTTTGCAAATGTGTTTTTATTATTATTATGTTTGGATAGACTTTCATAGACTTTTGGGGCATTACTATTTACTTTTAATAAGAATTTTAGGTTGATCTCAGTATCTGATCTACTGATTTTTTTTAATATATCAAGGATATTTATATGTTATACATGAGGACAATTTTTTATCCCAAGATTTTCATGTGCTTTTTAATGCTGCTTTTCCTCAAACAGGTTGCTTTTCTTTTTTTTTTTTTAAAGATTTTATTTATTTATTTGAGAGAGAGAGAGAGAATGAGAGATAGAGAGCGCGAGAGGGAAGAGGGTCAGAGGGAGAAACAGACTCCCTGCTGAGCAGGGAGCCTGACATGGGACTCGATCCCGGGACTCCAGGATCATGACCTGAGCCGAAGGCAGTCGCTTAACCAACTGAGCCACCCAGGCGCCCCAAACAGGTTGCTTTTCAATAGATGTATATGGCCGAGAAGGTAATACTATTCTATGTATAAAAATATCTGACTAGAACACTGGGGACAGAGAACACCAGCCTCCAGGTCAGCTTTACTTTCTCATTTAGTACTGTGTCTAAATATTTGCAGTTGTGTTTTTGTAGGTTATTATGGTTGGATGGATTTCATGCATATCCTGGGTATTCCTATTGATTTTAATAACAATTCTTGATTGATACCTGTTTCCCTCTTTCTAGTGATTCCTTTATATGTCAAGGATATTAATACAATATAAGTTATATATGATGGCAATTTATTCTTCCCAGGTTCTCTTGTGCTCTTTAATGCTGTTTTCCCCTAAATGGATTGCTTTTAAATTTGGATAGATTTGTACGGCTAAGAAAGAATACTGTTCTCTGCCTAAAAATATTTGACTAATACACTAGGGGCACAGAACACTATCCCCAGGTATAACAGAATAAGAGAACATCCCCCACCCTGGTAGCCACACAGCCATGGGGCACACACAGAGCCTGGGCTTTAAAGAGAGGTCTAGTATTTGAGTCTCTACCCTACTGTTCTCCAAGAGTCCCTGACCCTCTTTGGATCTCCTTTTCTTTCTCTGTAGACCAGTGATCAAAATACAGGCCTTGAATGGATTTTGCAGAGATTCAACATAACACGCAATGCCACTATTTATTAAGAAGAGAATCGGGGATCCCGGGTGGGAAAATATGCAGTTGGTCTTTGAGCAGATTAGTGTCAGTTAAACGTTGGCTTCCCAGCTCCCAGCAAACCTCCCGCTCAGTCAGAGATTAACTCAGGCTAGAGAAAATAGACAGCAAAGATGATGAAGATGACTACAAAAACAGTTTCTTGTCAGGGTTGTGTTCTCAGGATCCTGGATGAGTCTGAGTGAGGGTCTCCTCTGGGATCATGTGCTTGGCCTGGAGGAAGTGAAGAGAGGGAGTTGGGAGATCAGCAGAGCCAGGAGCCCTGAGTCTCCTCCCCAGGCCACCCAGTTTCAGCTCATTTGGCCTGAATTCCTGAACCTCACCTTGGGCCATGTGAGAACCAATGTAGTCCCACTGGCTGTCATGAAGTTACCTAGTGTGGAGAAAGCACAGCTGACATCCGTTAAAACTAAAGCTGGAGACAATCTGATTGCACAGTACCATTTCCCAATCCATGCAAAAGAAACACGCCACTACATTTATCACCACTTAGGCAGTGGAATGAGCCCTGTGGCACAGTGTGTACTGGGAAAAATTCCTGAAGCCAAAATGTCTGTCAATAAAGGTGCAGGTCCATGGATTTAGGAAAGCAATGAACAACTGTTTTAAAAAATAGGCTAGCTAAAAATAAGTAAGTAAGTAAGTAAATAAATAAATAAATAAACAAACTGCTTAGCTTATAAGTAATGAAAGGATAATGTTCAGGGTTGATAATGAGTGAACTAAATAAGCAAAACAAATTACCTGCAAGTTGACATAATTCAATCTTGGTTACTCCCAGCTCCCTCCTATCCCCATGCACCCCCAGCACTCACTTCTGAGACCACTGGAAATTCATCCCAGACTGGGTGGAGAAAGTCTGCCCCATTTCCTGCTGCTTCTGGCAAAGGGTGGGCCAGGAGCTGCAGGAGGGTGTGGGCACTGGGATAGAGAATGTGCTCTGGGTCTCCTTGGGGCTGGCGTCCTTCACAAACAGATCATCATTCACGATGCATAGACTGAAGGAAAAAATGGGACCTTATTAACTGGACAGATAGACAACCCCACACCCCAACAACGATCCTGCTTCCACTGCCACTCAGCAACCAGGTTCTTTCCATACTCTTACTGTGCCTGCCACCCAGGTTCCTTGGCTGGTATCTCTACTTTTCCTTCACCCTTCACAGAGCCAACCTTTGGAGAGGCTGTCTAACCAATTTCACTACATTTATAGGTTTATCCCCAAACCACAGACAATTTTACACCCATATTTATACTGCCGAGGAGTGGACAGTCTAATCTCCATTTTCAGAGGAAGTCACTGGGTCACAAAGAGATCATGTGACTTGACAAGGTTCACAAAACTAGTGAGTGTTGGGATCAGGGAAAGAACCCATAATCTGATTCCAGAGCCGACGCTCTTAATCACTAGGACACATGATTCCTTGGTTGTACCTGTTGGCTTTTCACAATACTGAGAACACCCCGAAGCCTGTACCTCCCCATTCCCATACCCCTGAACTCATACTGAACTGGGTGTTCCACCCACAACAAAGCACTCACCTGTAACTGCTGACAGGGGTAGCGATGAATGTCCGGGTGAAGGCACGAACAGAATCCTGAGACATGCCTTCCACTTCAACAACGAGCAACAAACAACAATACCTCTTTAGCATTCCACATGCTTTACATACTCACACAGCATTCCCCAGTCAGGGTCTGACTTGATATTCGTGCTGAAGGGGACAGTTTTTCTGTGGGGAGTCAGGGTGTTCCGAATGGGGAAGGCAATCTGTTCCCAGTGACAGGAACACTACCATGTGCTGGGACCAGTGGAAACCACTTCAGAAGTGCATTTGAGGGGCACCTGGGTGGCTCAGTCGTTAAGCGTCTGCCTTCGGCTCAGGCCATGATCCCAGGGTCCTGGGATCGAGCCCCGCATCGGGCTCCCTGCTCCATGGGAAGCCTGCTTCTCCCTCTCCCACTCACCCTGCTTGTGTTCCCTCTTTGCTATCTCTCTCTGTCAAATAAATAAAATCTTCAAAAAAAAAAAAAAAGAAATGCATTTGATGCATTTTTCACAGCTGCTCAAGAGATGGACATCATTAGGTCCATTAGCAAATGAAGAAACTTATAGGTTAAGAGCCCAAGGTCACAGAGTAAAGATCTAGGCTGAGAGCTGTCCAACTCCACAGACTGTGTCCCTAATGCCCAAGCTGTGTGGGGCAGACCGGCATAGACCTAGTTCAGACCAGGATGATTTGAGGGCAGCGTGGAAATGGGAGAACACAACGGGAATAGGAAGAGAAGGGAAGGCACCAGGGAAGCTGGGAGAGTTCTGTGAGGGAGCCCAGCCAGCAGGGAGAGAGCAGAGGAGCATCTGGGGAGGAGGTTCTACACACACGCACCTTCCTTGAACACCCCGTTGACAGAGAAGCAGAGCATCGTCTCCTGAAAGGGAAGAGCCCAGGTACTAAGTCACCTAAACTTCCTACCCACCCGTGGCTTCCTGGGGCTGCCCGAGGGAGGAAGCTGGTGCTCACCGTCTGGAACCACATGTCCACCATGAAGGAGCTGAGGTCATGCTGAGTTTTGGGCAGCACACAGAGGGAGCGCATGATGTCACATTTTGTATGCTTCAGCAGCTGAACACGCAGGGCTATGGGGGTGGGGGAGGAGAAACAAGCAAAGGTCAGGGGTTGCCACACCCTAGGCCCTATAATGATCACTTCACACCCC